GACCTTTAAAATGTTATTAATGATGTAGCTCTTTTTGACATGTTAATGCTAGCATGTCATTTTGACAACAGTGTGTTTTTGTGGCAACACTTTGGTGAAGACTCTTTCAAGTCCCAACTTGAAAAAGTCTTGCAATGTCTTTCCCTCCTCTCACCTTTGCTCCTGTCTGCCGCTCTACTGTCAGCTATCCAATAAAAGGGAAAATGGCCCACAAATTCAGTGAAAAATAAGTGTTTGCCCACTTCAAAACATGACTGGTCTGCACCGAGCCCTGACCTCAACCCCTTCCAACAGCTCTGGGATGAAGTTGCTTGCCAACTGTGAGCCAGATCTTATCACTACCATGACCGTCAGTGTTGGCCCTCACTAATGCTCTCTGCGCTGAATGTGAACAAATCCCTGCAGCCAGGTTAAAAAATCTGTTGGGAAAAAATAACCAGAAGAGTGGAGGCTGTTGTAGCAGGACATGGGGTTGGAATGACACTTCCAATAATCACATATGGCTGTAAGGCTCCAGTGTCCACATACTTTTTTCTAGACTTTTCCACAAATTGCTCTGTCAGAGTTTATGCACATGTCAAGTCTGTGCATAAGGTGCAAATGGAGAGTGACAAACAATGGGAGAGACCCCATCCATTATTGCTGTTTCAGTTTATTGCAACAGCCGTGTACTCAATTTGATTGACTAACCTGTCATTTTTGATGGAAGAGAATGTCTAAACTAATCAGATCTGGTGCCTGTGACTGTTAGATGATGATCCTGTCTTTGTCTCTTGGTGTAATTTCCTGTCTTGCTAAGAATACCAGTTATAATCATTTCCTAACATTGACCTCCTTATACCAATAACTCGTTCAGATATTTTTTGTTGAAAACACTTACATTTTCAGGCATTTTCCTGCAGTTTTTCTCGATTGACCAAAGTAAACTAAAGCAGTCAACCATCCAGCCTTTATAAATGATAGCATCTAGTGTGAGTGCGTTCAAGCTATGTGCTTTGTGTTGAGTGATTTCCTACTTTGCCAGGGCTGATTCACACACATCTATCAAGTGCTGGGACTAGATTCCTTATAAACAAATTACATATTAGTTTTTAAATGTGAGCTTTGTTTTGTGGCCGAGTTGCTGCAAACTAGTAGCAATAACAGTCAAATACCTCACATAAAGGGGATAATTGGATCACACGCACCCTGAACTTTAGATTACTGCAAAGAAAAACCATCGTCACAGGGTGATAAACTCTTGAACCTCTGTTAAACACACATTTTAATGTGTGAAATGTATGTGGCGGTGGTGAAGAAAAAAAGGCTTTTTTTCTGCAATTACACAGATAGTAGAGGTTGTTATTTATTTGGCGCTTTCATTTTTAGGTTTATGGCAGGGTAATTTAAATGAGCTCTCAGTAGCCACTATAATTGGTCCCTTGATCAAACCTGTGATTGGGAAGCGCAGCTGCAAGGAGAAAAAATACTTGTTTTATAATTATGGTACACAGATACTTAAATCCATTTAAACCAGAGTGTTTTACATTCCAACTGAATATCAATTTCAGTTGAGATTAGCTAGCAATTCCAAAACCACATTTCAATATGTGAGACTCATCTTTATACTGGCTTAGATCTACAGATAAAAAACATTTGTCAGAAATGTCACATCCTCCCGCTGGGGGAAGCACTATCATTGAAATACAGGCACTGAACTTTAACAAAAGCAGAACACATCCCCCCTGTCTGTTCAAAGCTCTCTGAAGGGCTCATGTGTATTAGAGGCGGGTTTTTATTGTCTTTAGCACTCTTATAGGATGATAAATGAACATATTTAAATGCAAATAAGGTACAACTATCATATATCCATGTTTTGTTTGCTCTGCTGTTCAGAAACACAAAGCGTAATTGAATCAAGGCAATATATTTCTCTCAGCGAAATGATTTCCCATAGCTGCTGGTGATGGAGGTCTCGGATGATGTTGCTTTTTTCTTAACCCACTCAAACAACCCATAACAATATTAACGCAACATCAAATTGACTCACTTACAGCTAAGATGGATCACCATGAGCTGTGGCTGCGTCCATGTTCCCATGTAAAGAGGCCGTAATCAATCATTTTTGGCAAAGCAGCACTACACCGTGGGTTCTGTCAACTGGAAGAAACACTCACAGTCCCATAACTGAGCTGTGACAGTTCTCCACTCACTTGAGACGCACTGAACAAATCAAAGCTCTCATATCTGGGGAAACAGCAAACAGTGAGGAGACTGGGAGGGAGAGCCGGCTGATACTCACTCTTCAACACATTCTCACTCCCAACTCGGCCTATGTTGACGTTATGTCAGGGTCCCTGTCGTCACTTTCCAACGCAAGGGGGGCCCTTTAGCGTCAAATTTCAACTTTCGGGGATGTCCATAGACTTCTATAGAGCTCCCTGAACGTTGGTAGTAGACGAGTTGGGATCGCGGAGAAATTCTCTCCGCAGACCCATTCTCACAGCGTTTATCAACCTTTTTCTTACTCAATATCAAGCCACACTTATTGTTTTTACTTCTTTATTTTAGTTGAATAATGTAGGACTTTTGTTGCCGTCAGTTAGGGGGAGAGTAGGGGCTCAGAATACTGAAATCTGTATTGTTTCATCGTTTTTTCCTTCTAATTTTGTATTATTTTCTGAACCACACACTGTTATTTACTCAAAAATAAGACACAATTATCCTTGTGTTTATTTATTTGTTTGATTGTATAATGTCGGACTTTTGGAGTCCGTCAGGACCGAGGGTCGGAGCAGCTCATAGTAGCTGCTTTAGAGAATTTTACACCCGGAAGTAAGTATTCTCTCCGCTTTGCTTGACAAACCCCGTGATTAGTCCTCAAGCTCTGTGATTGGATGTTTGAGTGGCAGTGCGCCGAGGGTTACGCAGAGCGTCAAACAGCACGTTGAAATGGGATGGAACCACGGCAGACTATCCAAAACTGGATTCGAACGGCCTAATTAGTTTGTCTGTTTTGCACATCCTCCTATTAATATCTTTGGACGTCCGGCACTAAACTGTTTTATTGTAGAGATCACTACAGTATCTTCTTGGTATTTTCTATTCTATATTTCTATCATTGACCTTCTACTTTCCCCCTATGAAAGTATGTACTCTTAATATTTTTATGTTTTCATCAAATATAACATATCAACAAAGAAATTCAATAACGTGCTTTAACCACTAGGCGGGTTAAAAAACTGTCAAGTTTACAGTGTTAACACAATAAAATATACTGCTGTTTCCAGTTTAGCTTATGACAGATGTATTTTGTTATCCACACATATATTGTTTTTATATTTGTAACACCAAACCGACAAAAAAGATGGTCTTAACATGACCCAGTGGTCTAGTTAATAAAAAATATATTATCAAACATAATATTAAAATGAACTCTTATTTTGAAAATACAGCTTCCTGTGTTCGAATGAGCTGCTCCGACTGTCGGTCCTGACGGACTCCAAAAGTCCGACATTATACAATCAAACAAATAGATAAACACAAGGATAATTGTGTGTTATTGTTGAGTAAATAACAGTGTGTGGTTCAGAAAAGAATACAAAATTAGAAGGAAAAAACGATGAAACAATACAGATTTCAGTATTCTGAGCCCCTACTCTCCCCCTAACTGACGGCAACAAAAGTCCGACATTATACAATTAAAATAAAGAAGTAAAAACAATAAGTGTGGCTTGATATTGAGTTAGAAAAAGGTTGACGCTTTGAGAATGGATCTGCGGAGAGCATTTCTCCGCGATCCCAACTCGTCTATTACCAACGTTCAGGGAGCTCTATGCAAGTCAATGGGACTCCCTGATAGTTGAAACTCGAAGCTAAAGGGTCCCCCACTGCTTTTGATAGTGACGCCAAGGGATCCTGACATAACGTCAACATAGGCCGAGTTGGGAGTGAGAATGTGTTGCACTCTTACACCAGGATAACATTTGTTACATTGCTTGTTGTGCTTAACTTACAGGGGGAATCAAAAACTACACTTTTTTTCAACACAAGGTTATTTATACAGCGCATTACAGCACCTAAACATTTTTAATTCAAAGGGTTTGCATCATTTAGTTCTTCAACAAAGGGACCGTGACCCACATGGGGTCTTCAAAATTGCTACACAGGGGCCGGCAAAGTGTTTGATAAGTTATACTTTGTTTTTAAATAAAAGTTATGTCTGAAAATGCACATTAGGTTCATGAATCCAACATAAAACACACAACAACAAAAGAACCCATTTAATTTACACAACATTGACTCATTGTTGTAATGATTGTCCAACTGCTACCTATGCATTCCTGTGGAATCAGTAGCTTACCTGTGCCAAAGCACTGTACGGAACCTTTAAGGTGAAATATTGACTACAAATTATTATTTGAATAGCGTAGTAGTGTACGCATCATAAAAGGGAATGTGTATAGAATCTGGTACTGCCTTAAGGCCACCTTACAAATTATTGAACGCTCAATGGAGCCAAGTCTGCTATGATTGGTTAGCTGGCAGGCTCTTTTGTATTTGGCCAGCCACTTAGAGATGTCCCGCCCCTTAGCCTATCACGTACAATGTGTTGGAGTGCTAGCCAAAATAAACGTGAGTGTTACGTAGTGATGTCACTATGTTACGGAAGTAAACAAAGGAGTCCAATGGAGGCGATTAACATGCACATAACCTATATATCACACTACAGGAAATGGATATCTCAACAAGCATAAAAGGGCCCCTTTAAACATACGAAGAGTGCTCTTTAAGCTAAGGGGTCATGAAAAACATTGAAGACCCCTGCATTATGTCTTGAATTGGAGTTACAGAAGAGAGGAGGGAGATACCACAAAGGTTAAGAGGGAAACTATGTGTTTAAGTCATTTGATTACTCTCCCTTTAACATCAAGGGCAATGACTGACATTTCTGATGTTCTTCTTGTCACTTGAACCTAGCGTTTTCAAAATAATATTTGACTCTGTTTGTCCTACAATAGGAAACCATCACCATGACTATCAACACAGCCACCTGGATTTGACTGCGCTCACACCTAAACTGGGTAAGAAAACACATTAATGTCCTTAACTGGAGATGTGACATCACATGTGGTGCAAAAATCCCTATGTAGATCAGAAAAATGTACATTTGGAATGCGTGCCAGGAAAAGACACCCAAATTGATTTCTCATAATCGGACCCGACTTGACTTTCCCAAATGATATGGATCGTTATCTGTCTCTAAATGAAAGTCAGCCAAACAATTCTTGTGATAGATTATTTCCAATTTCAAGGACAATAGTATATCTTTGACGGGGAAATTAAAATCTGAAGGACTGACAAAGAAGTCTTCGGAGAAAATGAAAAGCCGAAAGTTTATGATAATCAATGTATCATCTGTGGATGTTGCTGCAGTTATTGGAAACTCAATTACTTTTATTGCCTCCCATCTATTTCTCTTAATGTGATTTTCTGTGAAAGGAGAGCAGCTTTTAGCGTGGAATTACCGAATGTTCCTGCATCCAAACGTCAATGAAATGAAACACTTTGTAATTGAAGAGGGAGTCTGGCCCTACTCGTGATAAAATATCTCCCTGACATTCTAAAAACTGCAGAGACCGACTTTGAGTCATTATACAAACTTTTCGTTAATGGAGCGCTGTGGTCCACATTCCACTTGTGCTTGTGTGCCTCTTAAACAGGACAGCCTTTTTGCTTGGGAAATGGCTTTGAAAAGTACCGTTAGTACCAAATAAAACTCTTCAAACAGTCCTTTTGAAGCCTATATAGCTCCTGATGAGGCAGGGTAGCTTTTAGGAATAATTCCAGAGATGCTGGGTTAGATTCTATGTGTTAACTCGGGGCAGCATTCTAGCAATATTAGCTTTAAACAAGGGCAACCCTTCAGTGTGGTCGTTTGGTTGAAGCATCTGTGCACTTTGATTCTTATTGATCCTTTCTTTCTCACTTGGATTTGGTAGCCCACAGACAAATGCGACACGGTAAGTAATACACATACACTTGGTGTTTATGTGTATTCTTTCTTCACCTTTTCTTACACGCATCATGTAGAGATCAAAACTCTTTACCTGCACACTGGGGGTCATTTTCTATTCTCCTTTTTCGTTCTTTTTTAAGCGCTTGTTTATATTTTGCTGTCACGCTGCATTACAGTCCATGACCTTTAGTCCAATCTGAGAGATTTCTTCTTCACACATTATTTTCACTCTTTCACTCCACCTAACTGGCTCTTCAAAACCCTCACACATGCCGGCACACTCTTTTTCCAACTCAGTGAATGTCTCTCCTCTACGCCATATGTTACTCGGTGTTGTGTGTCCTTGTCCTCCTTGCTGCAGTAGACACCCAGTCCTATTTTTAAATCCAGCAACAGCGTCCCTGCCCGTATCCCAGCCCCCCCCCACCCACCCACCCACTGCGCCACCTGACCCACGACTGGGCGTCCCAAATACTGAAACCTAAGGAGCTCTGTGCAGTGCAGGGAGCCTTCATGGTGCCACATCATATCACTGATAGCAAAACAGAAATGTTAACGGCATTTCACACCAGCCGTCACTTGAGCCGCCTGGACATAGTTCACACATTCAGTTTGCTCAGAATGTGTAAAGGCAACGAAGCACAGATTGGTACGTTGTATTGATGTTACAGGTCAACACGTAGCATATCATGCCCTTGAAATGCTTGAAGGGACAGTCACCAGACTACTTTTCCAAAATCCAAAAGTTTATTTGATGTACACAATATAGTCATTTGCACCCGGATGAAAATAGTCACATGGCAGTTTTTGTGCTATTTACACCTACCCGCCCCCAACCGACCATATTCAAGGTGGCATCTCACTTTGTAGCTGTTTGATGGGATACAAGGATAAAAGGCAGGATGTATGACACAAATTACTCTCTCTAAAACAACGCTGTTTTCTCACAATTAGTATAATACAAATAAAATGGTCCAATATGAAAACTTGGCTAGCTAAGCCAAGTTGAATGCTACTCATTGGTAAAGTAAAAACTGGTACATACACCCGAGCGTAAATAACTACAGTGCTGAAAAAAAGAAAAAAAAGTGCTTTTACGTACTTATACATGTACAAACAGAAGAGTAAAATGTACAAGCGCAATAGAAAAATTGACTTTAACCAATGTTATAACACGAAAACAAGTATCTAAATTAGCTATAGCACATAATGTACAAAGTTACTTTAATAAAAATGTGATTATTCATTAGCCAATGCAGATGGAATTAAGTGGCTCCCTGCCTGCGGCTGTAGGTTAAATGACCAAACATCGCACATGGGTCAAGCTAAATCAGTCCGTTGTACATCTCAAAATGCAAGCAGACCTTTTCAACTTGTTGTTTCCTACACGCTAAAGACCTCCAGCACAAGTCTTTCTCCCCCCACACTTCTCACAACCCTGGCCTCTTTATCTGCCTCCCTTTCTCTCCTCCAGTAAAGACTCCCAGTTGATTTCCCTTCTTTCTGACTGAGTTTACTCTGACTGCACCGCACCGCTTCCTTCCCTGTCCCCTGTAGAGAGACCACAGCGGATGAACAACATCCTGACCTCGGCCACCGAGCCCTACGACCTGTCCCTGTCCAGATCCTTCCAGAACCTCAGCCATCTGCCGCCCTCCTACGAGCTGGCCCTCAAGTCTGACTTAAGTAAATACTCCTCCTCTCTCCACAGATTAAGTAGGTGGTCCTTCATTTATCCTTCCTCGTCGTGTTTTTGCCTGATGCACTGAAAAGAGACAGGGAATGACGTCAACCTCATGCCCTGTGCATTAAAGGGCTCACTGTGATGAAACATTTGAATGTGCACAACAGAGACTTGCCTCATGATACGTATCTCCAGATGTTTGGTGGCTCATCATGCAGATAAACCTCTCACTGTTTCACCTTTGTATGGAAAAAAAACCTACTTAAAATGCATGACAATGCTCTATAGCCTCCATACTCATTCCCATCCACTTGCATCTAATTGGCGTGTAATTTGGCTCCATCTGCAGCCTACAGTATGTCATGTTGCCAATGTCTCTTAATGATATATTAAAAGCTTTTTTTTTTTTCAGCTGAATGGCTTCTATACGCTAACAAGATGGCGCTTCAATGTTGCGCTGTGACATTTTCAGCTGGATGATGACCAGTTAATTCCCAGTGCTCTCACATTGGTTGCATGTTTCCGGTTTTGATCTAGATTTTCTTTAACTGATCTGTATTGTATTAAACAAGGGAATAACATGTTCACTTTTACAAAGCTTACCTCGCCAAAAGTGTTTTTGAAACGTGACGGCCGCAAAACATTTAGAAATTTGTAAAATGCACAAAGCAAGTACAAACTCAGACAGTTCACTTAATGTTGAAAGCTCTAATCTTTAATCCTACCATCAACACGTTGCACAGTAAAATAGCTTGACTGCTGATTCTTCATAATCATGTTTTGAATGTAGCTTTGGAATGTCTCATACAAAGACAGATTCCAATTTAGTTTTATCTTGTGAAAGATTCCATACCTAGGGTGCTCGGTATTTAAAAACAGTTTTCAGAGCAGACTGAAGATAATAAGATAAGATACAATATTCTCTATTATCCCCCAGGCGATTTCTGCTTGGACACTACTGTAACCAACTTAATACAATATGTAGCCAACAGGACATTACAGTGGTACACCAAAGACATAATAAAAATGATTCAAATGAGGCGAGAAATCATACAAGGCATACCACAGTACATAATGTAACTTCTTGCATTATGAGAACCTTCTTACAATGGTTACATTGTTTTCTAGAGCAGTGTTGTAGTTGTTGGATGAAAGGAAAGATTAAAGCTTATTTTGTGCATTTCCTGGCTCTGTAAATTCTACCTGAAGGTAATAGTTTGCATTTGCAATGCAGAACGCGTGACAGGTCCTTCACAATTCTGTGTGCATATCTTGACAACAGTTACTTCATAGATAGCATGAAGGGGACGGGTGTGTACTTTCTTTTAGTGTTGTTCAAAAACATTATGGATACTTTTACACCAAACCTGTTTGGTGCAGTTCAGACGAACTTCGGGGCATTAAGCTGTTTGGTTTTGTTTGTTTGGGCTAATTTAAAAGCTGTCAAACTAACTTTGGGACAGAACAAACACCCAAGACTAATATCGCCATGAAGCATTTGAGAACTGAAAGCAAAAACAGTCCAACCACAGGATTTTACGATATTGCAATTTTAGAATGACCTTAAACTTATTTTGAACTGTGAAGAGAGCCTTCTGTATGTGCTTGATGCATATTTATGCATGATGCAATAATTGCATCATGGCAAGTTACCATTGGTACTATAAAATGAAATATTGTAATACATTTATAGAAAGGATTTATTCAGTCATGTTAAAAGCCTTCTTCTGATACAGAATGGGATTTAGAAAGCTCTTAATAACTTTTTGGTGGTATTCAAGGTTAGATTGAATTGGTGATATGATAACTGAAGTATGTTAAAGGGATTGGATATCAGTAGCAGATGCAGTGCGCCTGATGTTCTTCTATAAACAGATCTATTTTCTTAAAGCTGAATATTGAAATAACACCAAGGTTTATTAAAGCAGAATTCTGCATGCGCATCTCTCTTCTGTTTCAACCTGATGCAGAACGCTAGAGGATCTTGCAAAAGCGGTTTGAACAGAACATTCAAAGTGCAAGGAACAAACATATTTTATGGATTCATTTTTGTGAACTACTTACCCTCTATATCCTCCACTTGAGACTATCATACGTCAGTTCTTGAGATTTTGGAGATCAGCTAAGAATGCTATATTTGAGCGTTAAGATAATCGGGTGGACCAATGACTCATCTTGTCTAAAAATAAAAACTTGTTTAACTTATCTTTTTAGCAACACACTGTTTTAAAATACACCAAAGTAAACAGCTATTGAATATGAGCTGCTAAGTAAGCCATGACGCTGCCTGGTGTTCAGTCCATTCAGTGCATCCATTATGTATTTCCAAAAGCACAACCATTGGCAACATACATATAATGCACTCTCTAGAGTGCATTATATTGTGAATAACCACATTTAACCAATTTGTTGACAGTGGATCTTTTTTCTTTTCTTTTTAAAAAACATCCTCATCCTTTTGCCTCAAGAAGCTTCTCTGTGTTTAAAGGGATTTGTCAGTTAAAAACACACTGGAGCATTACTCTTGATGTGCTTTTACCCCTAACCTTATTTCCAGGAACAAATTCAGTGAAGAGCACATTTTCCAAGCACTTGTGAGTTGTAACAAACACACAATATGCACCATTCACTGTCCTTGAATTATAATAGACGTTACAGACTTGGAAAGCCATTTGAATGTGCCATTGGTCCTGTGATAGAACAACATGCGTTGGTACAATCTCCTTTCAGCGCATTTAAAATGTGTCTTTTATACGTTTTACTCCTCTCTCCCTTATCAACTCTGGGCTTTGCTCTTATCTCGCTGAAGCTTGTACACACACAGAAAATCACAGACATGAATCACCACAAAAAGGCTTGAATTTGGAGGAGCCCTGAAGAATTTGTCCAAAGAGCGAGCAAAGTCGTCCCTTAAACAAAACCCTTCCACTTGGAAATTAATTACGGGTTCTATCGCGGGTGAGGCTTTTTTTTTGGAAACAAGCCTAAAAGTAATATAATTAGTTGCTTTTTTAATTAAACCATCTGGAGGGATAATGATTATGACTAAATTAAATTAGCATGGTTTATTTGATATTTTAAATGATGTGTGTGAGCGCAGTGTGTGTTCTTCAGTGATGTCAATGAGGCAGGCTGCTGCTCTAAGGTAACCTGCTTGTTTGGCTCTGTTGTTCACCTTAATCACCCCAAAAGGGATTAAAACACATCAAAGAACAAACAAGCTACCTTTAATCCTCACCAAAGAAAAAAAGGAATGAAATTGCTTCCCTTCCCCCCTTTTCATTTCACATGCTCCTTCTCCAAACCTCTCTAAAGATCACTTTATAATTGATGTTCCACCAGTTTCACGAGTGTTAGCGCATTATATGATTACAGTTTTCTGTGATCAATAGCTGACACATAAATATACTGCTTGTATTGAATCTAATCTCGCAGAGTGGGAGCTGGGGTTTAATTAACCGTTGTTAGCTATTTCCTGTGTTTGCAGCTCCGCGCCACGTTTGGGACCCTTTAGCCTCTCGCAATCATCTTAATTGTAAAGTGCTACATTTTATTGGCGCTGCAGAAATTAGATGGAGCAGTTCGCATCGCCCCTCTTATATCATTCTAGTCACTTAAAGTGTAAATGGTGTAACATGTGTACGCTCATAAAAAGCAAGTCTTAAATCAAGTGTTAGAAGGAGAGGAATTCCATTTGTAGCTGGGCATTTTGAAGTTCCCCAGAAACCTTCTACTGAAATTAATATTATATTTCATTCTCAAACACTGGCCAAAGTCTTTATCCATCTTAACAACAGTGAGAGGCCTAATTACTTTTGATTCAATAAATATAGGTTATTATATTTTAGTGAGAAGCCTCCCTGATTAGATTTGCTGTTGATTCTTATTACTGAAAAATACTTCCCCCAATGTTAACATGTTGTTAAAGCAAATTCAGAATGTTTTTTATTTGCACAAGTTTTGTCAATCACTGTAATGTTACCATCGATAGATATGACCATTTTTTTGTGCAGACTTTTTACATTAAAGCGTTTGAGAGACTGAATGAGAAAGCCCCTCCCACATTCCTGATAAGCCTTTATTTAAAAAGAAATGGAAAGGACATCAAAATAATCATGATTAAAGTTCCTATCAATATGGTTTGACCAAGTGCCCAAAAGTGTGCAGACTGCCTAGGGTTAGGGTTATGTTTTCTTCTTGGGGTGGATGAGCACATAATTTACCATGTTGCAAATGTTTCAAATTCAATGCTTGGATAGTCAGAGTTTTATTGGCAGTAACTTTTTGGTGGCCAACTAAATATCAGAATATTGAAGCACCTGGAAAAGTTGGTCCTTATTGGTTGGTGTCACGCCTCTGTCTGTTATCGAAGACCCGCCCTTTATTTGAGAATTTATGTTAAATGTCTTTTCTTTTGATAGCAGGACATAATACACTCCTGCCACATTAACATTTTAGTTTATAATCACTACAAATCTGTGACGCTGGCTGCAGTTTGACCTATCAAAGGAGCTATGGGGCATAACTTCTCAATTGTCTTTATACTTGTAGCCTCTGGTTGAGTTTGGTTGACATTTTCTGCCATAATGTCACATCTAAACCAAGTCTTTAGGGAAAAAATGCTGGAGCACATTGCCATGGGCCAAAGTTGGCCCTCCTTCATTAAGAATGCACAGAGCAGTGGACATGAAACCCCTGATAGAGGGACAAAAGGTGACCTTCTGTATCCAGGCGTGACATCTATTCCAGAGAGCCGAGCATCCACATCCACAATTCCCATCATCCCTCTTTTCCACGACCCAGTGAAGCGTGACACGGTCCTAAAACGGCCATTCGACCTCAGGGTTCTGCAATAATTAACTGCTGAAGTGGTAACGACCCCTCAGCACCAATAGTTAATCAGAGAGCTTCTGTGGTAGCGTCCCAATGTGTGCCAGGAGTGACAAAACCAGGTAGATACACAGCTGAGAGCTAATTGCCTCCCATGTTTAATAGAGCCGACCATGACTGTAACATTAGGAGCACCCAGTGGACAGACCGACCTGCTTTCTGGTAGAGGCCTGTTCAGGCACAACCAGCTCATGAACTGTTGAGTATTGTTGCGTTGAGTATAAATGATGAGTCCTCTTCACACTAATGGAAAACTACATTGATAAGAGTCTACTGTTGTTCTGTTTTTTATGAAAAAAAAGGCCATGTTTGAAAGGACTCTCCAATTACTGTGTTGGTTACCATTATCACCTCATCCGTTCAACAGCAGCCAGAATGTGCGGGACATATATAATGGAGACTAATGTGTCGACACTTGTGGTCCTCGGGGCCGTTTCAAACGTGATTTGTGAGCACTGCTTATATGCAGATTTCATAGTGAAAGCATTACTTTTCTCAAATGATTGTAGCTTGCAAATTGCATATACATCTGCAAGTCCTAGAGGGCTGTTGCATGCTCCTGCATGGGTTGCCTGTTGTCTTGATGAATGAAATCTGTAAAAAATAAAAGGTTATTTGTTATTTGTTATTTATGGTCTTGCTGCCCCTGCCCTGGGAAAAAAACGTCCCCATATGTGTACTATAGAAAATATCCTGTAAATATAGGTTTGTTCTGAATAAACCAACGTTGAAAGGACTTCTAGGAAATGTGCTAACCACGAACTACAGTAGAATGCACCTTCGGCAAGACATTTGATTGAGCTAGAAATTGTAAAAAGATTAATCCTGGAACCCATTGGCTATGCTTCTGACATCAATAACCTTCTGGGGGCACGGGGCTATATTGCAAGAGGATTCCTATGTAGCCAGTGAATGTTCAAGCCAAAACGTCCTTTTCTGTTTGCTGTTCATTGTTTAAAGTCCAATTTGCAACTTGAGACAATGAATGGAGCTGGATTTGCTATTCAATGTCTATGACCAGGTGTTTTGAAGAAGTCAATTTAAAATAAAATAAAAAGCTAATAAAAGGCCGTATGATCGTCAGACGATATCCCATGGGTTCTGATATTTCGTTTTGGCAAATGGGTTCCAATGTTCTCTCTGTTCTTCTCCATACAACCAATGCCTGTTCAGAAGTGATTGATCAATACTCGGACTAGAAACTAATACCAACATTCAAAATATTATGCCATTGCCCACAGTTTTCTGCATTCATATCCAGACATCTGTTTAAAAAGATGATCAAATATGTAATTTTAGACTCCAAATTACTGTTCTGTAAAGTACTGGTATTGTGTAAAGCTGCCGTCACATTATCTGCGGTAAAACTGCAGAGCCCGAAACAGTGGTGGCACTGCCAGCTCGACCTTTCAAAGCATAACCAAGAGTAAAATCTATGTGAAGCCGCACAGGCAGACAAGGGAGTCAACCATAGAAGAAGAACTAATCAGCCGTTCTCTGTACCCTACTATGTGGTGAGCATAGAGCTAATTGCTTATCATGTGAAGGCAGCTTAAGGTTGTATTTGTTCAAAGCAAGGCCAGGAGTCTTGATGCTGTTATCTCTCTCTGATAATCTCCATATTCTTTCTCCTCAGGTGATAAGGATGTAGATGAGTACTACACGAGGAAGCATCATCATCCTGACTTTGGCGGCCGGGGACCAACCCACATGGTGAAGCTAAACTCAGAACCCCAGCAGCACCAACAGCACCAACAGCACCAACAGCACCAACAGCAGCAACAGCACCAACAGCAGCAACAGCGGCAGCGTCCCCGCCGAGTCCAGAGGGCCATGTCCCAGGATCACGTCCTGTCCCCTCCCAGGACGCCACGTCGTGGGGACTATGGCTTATCGTCCTACGGCGTCATGGCAGCTGCAGCATACAGCAGCAGCCGGCACCTCTCAGAGGAGCAGCTGCTGTCAGCAGACCGCCTCCAATCCCAGGATCCTTTACTGTCCCCCGCTATGAGGCGCGACAAGTTCCGGGAGAAGGCGATGGCGCGGGCGATGTCTCACGCCGACATGCTGATGCCCGTCACGCCCACCATGGACCGCCACAAGATGACCAAGATGCACTCTCAACCCACTGCCTCTACCGACTCCTACAACACGCTGACGGTCAACCACCAAGCCCCGACGTCTAAAAGGCAGGCGTTTGCCTCCCGACGAACACACACCGTGGACCACCTACAGTACATTCCCGGCCACCACCACACATACCGCACTGCCAGCAAGAACGAAGTAACTGTTTAACCACAGAGTGGAAGGATTCCTGAGACACAGACGTCAACAGAAATCTTCAAAATCAGCAAATCTCTTGTGCAGAGGTCTTCTGATTAAAACAACCTCCTACATTAAAAAAACTCTTCCTGCTTTTTAGCACAAGCTTCCTGTGTCATCAAGAATCAACCCCAGCAAAGACATCTCTCTCTTAGAGCATCATAAGGGCTTTGCGTGTTGACACAAAGAGGGATCCTTCATGTCAGACGTTTGACGGCCTGAAGAAAATATTTTTTAAACTGGACATGGGACTGGATAGGAATTGTATCAACTTTATAAATATATAAATATACTATATTTACTATTTGTATTTTCAGTCCTTGTTATAGCTTTAGAGATTCTCATTGACTGATGTAAGCACTTCAAGTGGTGCCTCTTGAACTTGTCCTATTTCAGTGAAGAAGTGGATTTATGGGTTAAAAAGCACAATTACTGAATTCCCTTTTTTGTTTGATTTAATTTACTCTTCTTCTTTGGTAAACGGCCAGGACATATCAGCTTAATAGTTAAAACAGAGGCTATTTCTGTTGCATACAATAGATGATTGTAAATAGGCTATATTAGCAGCATTAGAACAAGAAAAGCTGGCCCTTTGACTATATTGTTTGGTTTGGTTTTCTCCCACCTGGAATATTTCTTAGATTCCCAATTAATACTTTTAGTTTTAGATAAGGCAAAGATCCCAAATGAATATTATTTCCACAGATGTCTGCAAAATATGTGGATGTAATATGTATATGGGAAGTATTTTTTTTCTTTCTACTGTGCTTGTAGCATAGAATGATTGCGTATGAAATAACCTTTTACCACCGTCGGCTGGCAGCTTAAGTCTGCAGGTGGAAATGAAGCTTGATGGTTGTTTGACCTAGCTTAATTTCTGTTCACACGTCTTTTGTCATCCATGAAGATGACGCTCCACCGCCCTTTCTGCTCGGTTTGTGATTGGCCAGCTGCTTTCATCTCTACATATCAGGTACTCGTTGTGTCGGAGCGCATGGGTCAAGCCGTAGTTTTGCATCGATGTGTTGACTGAAACAATCAGTACTAATGAGGACATCATAATCAAGCATTACTTAAAACTATGACCTGTTTGTCCAGATGTTTTCATTAAAGCAATGCCTTATTGTATGGAATCCCATGTGCTCTTAATTGAACAATCATGCTTTTGTCAAATGTCACGTGTTTGTGCAATATTATTGATTATAGTTTACCAGCAGAACCAGCAGTAAAATTCCGTTCAGTGATAGATGATACAGTATACCTCACAAAACATTTAAATAAAAGAGTCCCAAACTTTAAAAGGAAAGCTATAAATATTATACTAGAGGGTATTTCTATTTAAAATCTGTCAAAGTATCTCTAAACTATTTTATCTTTATTGGAGGTCTGTTGGCTCATACAGTGCTTCTTTTTCCCGCTGTTTAGTCAGATGAATTAGAAATAAGAGGTCTTCATGGGTTCACTTAGGTCCTCGTGTTCAACACTAACTGGAACCACAGTTGGACTGGGTCTCTAATGTGATCTTAACCATACTTGTCATTAATTATATTGATTTCAGTTGGTTCTGGCCAAGGTGGTCTTTTGCATTTGTATCTATGCGCAGAAGGTTTGTGCACGGTAAACATTGTGGTGATATTGTGTTTGTAAACTACCTGATTCATTTGATTGGCTCTTTTGTACAAAAGAAGGGAACTGACCCTTCACTTGAGAACAGTTTTTTTACAGTCATTTTCAAAATGATCTGCCCGCCCTAGATATGCAGCTTATATCTTGTTTTCTAACAACGTGGATGATTTCAAATTAGAGTCAATTAGGGCCTGTTATTTCTCATGCAGATTCCTTGTGTTTGAGGGCATCAAGATCCAGAGGGAGTAAGACTTTGCATTGGTCCTGGAATTATACTCCATAAAATCGGGTCGGGGTAGGGTTTCGGTTATGAGTGGATCTCTTATTCAACAATGGTTCATAATCATTGAAGGCCCAACTATAAAATGAAGGAAACATACACAAATCATCACAGTTATTCCCCCCTGCAACGATGCTATGGGTGCGACTGTTTTGGCTTTTAGAAGGCCTACTTCTCTAGGTTCTTAATTACGATTTAAGTCCCAAAACCAAATGATAAAAATGCAAGTGCCATGTGAAGACATTGAAGACCCACCATTTTTTTGAAAAAAATACTTGATCTATTTTTGGAGGGTTTTCCTTATGTCCATTTCCAATAATGTCATTTTGGACTCATGAAGATCTCTACTGTAAAGTCCAATAGCCTTGACATTATGTATATTTCTTTTCAAACATTTTGATTGGTCCAAAACAGTCTGCTGTATGAAAAGCTATATATTTCCTGCTCTGTTCATTCCTAGAATTGCAAGAATTATGACATTTGTGAGTATGTCATAGAGATAACATTAATTAAAAATTGACCTTATTGTGAAATAGAACATCAGTATCATTGCTGTTTCTATGATCAGATATTTGAGTTGTACTTTACTGTATATAAAGACTTGAATACAATGTTATCTGTGATTGGAATTGTATTTTTCAATGGCAGAAAATCAACATCTCATTACACATAAATCCATTATTTTTGTTTAAATATGCTCATGTCTTGTTTCACATGTTTTTTAAATGGCTGTCTTTACGATGTTCTTTTTTTTAACATTGACCTTGTAGGGATGTAGAAAGTTGGCCAAATTAATTCCAAGAATGAATTTCCTTAAAAGTGGGGTAGGTAAGTTTGAGAAACCGGCTCGAGATACACTTTTTGTTATATTCCATGGAATGCTCTTAACATCCCGATAGCAATGAATATCTTAAGTGCTTTGACAAAAAATCCATAAAAAAATGTCATCTGTGGAAGCCGTAATACTGTAAAAAGCACGACCAATCATTTTAGCCGGCCCGGCTAAAATAACTGGATGGCGTACCTGCCTGTCAGCCTTCCATCTGTGCACAAACTTATCTCGTGACCTCATTGGTCATGTGCGCGTTCGTGTGTGTTGGAGGAGGGGCTCTGTAAGGAAATGGCAGATTTTTTCCGGCTGTGTATTTTCAAATTATAGCGCACTCGAGCTGGTTTCTCCAAAAATTACCTACCCTACCTTTAACTTATTTTAAATGTAATATGCTACTTTTCAATGTATGCCAATATGATGTCAATTAGAGATTGTCTTTTTTTTCAAAAGGTTTGTCTTTGTACATATTAAATGATTTTATTATTTCCTTTTTTCTGAGACTGCTTGCAGGTTATGAAGTATATTTGATAGATATGGGTGTGGGGGGAGAACAATTAATTGTTCTGTAGACAGCTTCAGACAGATATCTGTACACTTCCACCTCGCTCAACTAACCTTCACAAACTTCTGTTCACTTATTTAATAATGATGTCATCCCAAGAGCCTTTTTATCTATGTGCAATATTTCCTAATCATGCAGCATAACTCTATAGCCACTTTTACAATGTTGTGAGGTTCATTTGCTGCCATTAAAGGCTATGTGTCTTTTTCATTTAGGGCTGTTGTCTTTTCATAGTCAAAGAGGAGTTTTTTTATTATACAGCTCAATGTGGTATGAATGAAAATATATTTCTGTGTAATTGCACAAATAACTGGAGACTAATTTAAAGGCTTCAAAACAACAAAATATGACTGTTCTCGTGCATTCTTTTGTTTGTTTACAAACTATTAAAGCAAATAATGTGTTGTATACAGCAATTTAATCGCTTTTTATTCATGAAATATAGTAATGATATCACAAATGTATAACACATTTATTTGACAAACTTTGTGTGCTAAAACATCAGTTAAATCAACTAGCTTGCCAAGTTACTATTAGCCTGGCTATGCTATGCTAATCGTGCTACTTCCACATAGGAAAGCTGAGTTTGGATTAAACCAATTCAAGAGTTGTGAAAAATAACTGGAACAAGGACAAATATTACAGTGGTAACAGTAGAATGACATATTTCTCATAGTGACCCAGGAGAGATCCTGGTTATTTTTTGCAAAACACGCTGACTACAGACCTAGATTCATGAGGTAAGACCTCATTTTCTGAGCTGGCATGTACTCATTATCTTTGTTCCATTTTTTAATGATGTACTAAAATGACAATGTGATACAGTGGGAACATTTAGAAATGTCCAAGATATCCATCCTGCTGGGACCGCATTACCACTAGCTAGCTAGCTTTGCACTTACTTTCATCTCAGACTGAATAACACTTTGATTAGCGATGTAGAAATAATGCAGATACAACAAATGATATGACCCAGTTTGAGTTGTGAATTCTGATAGGTGTAGAGTTTTCTATTTGGTGTTGGAATATAATAAAGATCTGGATATCTATGGTGACCGACCCGTGCAAACGTGCTACGACGGTCCAAAACATTTCCATAAGAAGAAACGTGCTTCACTTAAAAAAATTATGCATATATAAAAAAGAAGAATCATCTTCACCAACTTGACGACACATGCACCAACTTTATGAAACATGTGCAGGGTTTACTTAAAGCTCTGCATAAAATAAACGCTGCAGGAAACTCAAATCACAACAGAAATTGGGACACTAAAAAGTGATACACAGCTGGGACTGGAGCGCTTGTTAACATTCAGGGATTATATCACTGTCGCAGAGTTAGCTTGTTTCATACTTGTAAGTGTTTTGTCAGTATGTTTGAAATACCTAGGTTAACTACGTTAGCTAGCTATCTTACAGCAGATTTGGAGAAATATCAGAAGAAATTATGCGCTCAACTAAAATAAGCTGGCAATGGTAACGCGATTGCACCTGGCGGCCACCGTATTATAGCAGCTAATCAACTTTCGTCAACAAGAAAAGAAATGCCACAAATTTGATATTAGGGAGTAAAGCAGTGTGGTTACATTTATTACTGTCAAAAGAACAATATTAAAGTGCAATGTAGATGAAATGGTGTCCTTTGCCATCATTAATCTTTACCTCTCCATCATGATCATAAAGACGTCTACATACGTAATATTTAGTGTGAATGCTGTGCCACAGCATTCCACTATAGTTCTTCGAATCTTTAATCTTCTTCTTATTTCAACCAATACTTTGGCTCTCAATAACTTCAGCCTACCTTCAGCTACAGAAACCATTCAAATATCAAAATATTCAGCCTTTTCAGCACATGATGGGAAACTTTCAACTTTTTCAAAATATGTTATACTTTTTGAAATATTCAGCTTTTTAAACTCTTTTTTTAACATGTAACTCAATGGGAGGAACCTTAAAATCATCTTTTACCTACACCGTGCGCCAAATGCTACTCCTTCCACATACTTTCAGCTAGAGACTTCATTCCAACTCTTAAAATGATCACAAGACCTTCAGCTATACAATCTGTTCTTCAAATCTTTGATATCTTTTACAGTTTTTGACTAATCAACGTTTAAGTTTTGGTACATTTTCAGGCCGTTTTCGATTTTATAATGGGTGTCTATGGGAG